GGGGTGGAACAGGATGAGCTTTAAGGTTCCTTCCAACCCAAACCATTCCATGATTCCATAATTCCAAACCCAGCCAGCAAAAACCTTACAGCAGCCAAACTCTTGCTACTCCATGGATGATTTTATATTGTTGAGCTGGAGGGACTGAAATCCCCTTTCCCAAGGTAGGAATGACACAGTGGGATCAGAAGGAGCTTAGGCTGCTGTGGCAGCCTCTTTGTCCAGGCTGGAAAACCAAGCAAGAAAAGAGAATCCAGCTCTTTTTAGTTTACTTGAAAATTCCAGCTTTATGTAAATCCAGGAAAATATGACAACTCCAAACAACATCCCAATATTTACACGTTTCCTGGAATCCTTTCCATCAGAAGTCTGATGAAGCTTAAATCCCAACATTCTCTGACAGCAGAGCTGGCCTGAGTTCATCCATGAATTTTTGTCTCTGTTAAATTTTGTAAGAGCAGAAGATGAGATTTCTTCTTTACCTACAATTCAGATCCCTGAGTCTGGGCACTCCCATCCAAGGAATTTTGGGTTTGGGTTTCTCCTTGTTGTTTTCTTGTATCCCAGGGATGTTTGATTATTTTCCCATAAATTGCAGGAACTGTGTCCCGGAGATATTTTGTGGGATGCATTTATAGATGGGGGAGAGTTATAAACCAGACCAATTTGTTGGATGGATGGATGGATGGATGGATGGATGGATGGATGGATGGATGGATGGATGACAGAGATTTGCTCAAAAGGTACTTGAAGCATTTTTGAAATTGGTCTGGGGGAAATTTAGCCACCATGGGCCTGTTTGATTTTTGGGATTGGGATGAAATCCAGAATGGTTTTGTCCCACTTTTCTGGAGATCTGATCCAATGTAACTGCAAGTTCATCAAAGAATTCCCAGGGAATTTTCAGCTCTGCTGGCTCCCAGCTCCCTGTCTCGGGGAGATGCTGTGACCCCAGCCATGGTTACTGCTCCAGCCCAGTGCCTCCACCCTGGGCAGCTCTGCCACGGCTTGGCAATGAAGAAATTTTTCCTAAAATCCAATTTACACTGATTTATTGTGGAGGCTGTACTGGGAGAGCCAGGAGGGGAGCTCAGGACAGGCCCAGTGACAGAAGCAACAATGGCACTTCCCATTCTTTTCTCCCTTTCCCTTTCCCTTTCCCTTTCCCTTTCCCTTTCCCTTTCCCTTTCCCTTTCNTCCCTTTCCCTTTCCCTTTCCCTTTCCCTTTCCCTTTCCCTTTCCCTTTCCCTTTCTCTTTCCCCAGCTGCCTCTGTACTTTTTCCTCACATGCCTGAGGCTCATGGGGGGCAAAACTTGCACCCAAATTGGTGCAAATATTCCCATGAACTGATGTGGAAATCATGGACACCATCCAGGCCACTGCTGATGTGTCCAGAGGCAACTGGGAATGGGATCTCCAGGGAAGGGGAAGATGTTTGGCACCATGGAAATGACCAAGGGGGCCTGGAAACTCAGGAGAAGCTGCCAGGAGGTTTCATAAAGCAGCTTTTACAAGGTCTTCCAAGAAAATTGGGGCAGGAATTTGGGTCCCTCTCTGGCTTCTGAAGACTTTTATCAGCCACAAGAGTGGCAGATGATTCATCCCCATCCCAAGAGAAGGCAGGGAAGGGTTTAATGAGGGTTTGTTTGTGTCCACTCTGGGATTCCACAGTGATTGTGAGGAAGGCCCTGGAGTTGCTTCCTGGCTGCTATTCCCATGTTTTCCAAGCTTGGACACAAATCCTTTCACCCCACAGTGCCTCATCCTCCTCATCCCCCTCCAGAGAGTCCTGCCCGCTCCCCAGCACTGCTAAAACTCCCTTGTGCTGCCCCAAAACTCCTCAAAACCTCCTGAAATTTGCATTTTAAAGGACTGAGGAGTGTAAACTGGAAGTGAGGCACAAATGTTTCCATTGCCCGATTTTCCTTGGCTAAAAAAGCCCAAAATCCAATAAATTGATTGTGAGCCATGCTGGGATCAGGATCTCATGACCCACCACGTTGCAAGGATGCTGTTCCATAGCCCTGATGCTGCTCCATCCATTCCTTGTCCAGAGAAAACAAAGGGAATTGCCAGTGGAGGCAGGAATACCAGAGGAAAAATCCCCTAATTCATGGGTGCAGAAGGGTCCACACAGAGGTTCAGATTCCTCAGTGCCACAGCCGTGATTCACGAGCCAGGGCTGGAGACAGGAATCTTTCATCCTTAAACAAAGTGAAGCTAAAAAGTCCTAAAAAGGCAACAGAATCCCTGAGTGCCAGACTCCTGTGGGGCACGGAATTATTTTTAGGACATTTGGGGCACTGCATTATTTTTATAGGTTTGGGGCACTGAATCATTTTAAAGCCATTTGGGACACTGAATTATTTTTAATCCTTTCAGGGTCTTCTGGCTGCACGTCCATCAGTGGGAAAATCCCCCTTGGCAGCATCCCTGCTCCTCCTGGTGCTCCCAGCTCTGTCTCCCTCTTCCCCATCCTCATTCCCTTCATTCTCCCCCCGTGCAGGGTTTTCCTCTCTGGGTTAATTAAACCCCACCGTGGGGTTTGGGGTGAGAAGAGCTCAGGCCTGAGGGAGCTCTCAGCCTTGAATCCCTGGCCCCATGCAGGCTCTCAGATTCCCAAAATTCCGCAGGAAACTCCCCCCAGCATCCCCAAACTCCATATTTTTGTCTTTCCCTCCTCCTGGAGCCACCAGCTCTGACAGAGGCAATAGAGGTGACAGAGGTGATAGAGGTGACAATGGTGACAGAAGTGACAGAAGTGACAGAGGTGACAGAGGTGATAGAGGCAACAGAGGTGACAGAAGCGATGTTCCTGGTGTGGCTGTGCCCGAGCCACCCCCGTGCCTCCCTGCTCCTCCATGGAACTCCTGGCAGCTGCAGCCACTGCAGCTATAGGACATTTCTACATTTCTGCATTTCTACATTTCTACATTTCTACATTTCTACATTTCTACATTTCTACATTTCTACATTTCTACATTTCTACATTTCTACATTTCTACATTTCTATCTACTGATGAGGGTCTTTCTCTTCTAGTTTATTAATTACAATCCACTTCCAATCCTTAGAATCTGGTTTAAATCCAGAGAAGAGTAATAAACATAATCTTATTCATACTAGCCCTATCACTGACCCTAAGCATCCTCCTAACTGCATTAAACTTTTGACTCTCCCAAATAACCCCGGACTCAGAAAAACTATCCCCATACGAATGAGGATTCGACCCCCAGGATCTGCTTGACTCCCCTTCTCAATCTGCCTCTTCCTAGCTGCTGTACAAAGGGTTAATCTGCTCCTGCCCGGAGCTCAGGTGGCTCAGCAGCCTCGGGGAGCAGCGGCCACCCCCCTGGCCCCGGCAGGCTGGGGCTCCTTCAATAATTCAATAAATTCAATAATTCACGGGCCCGTCTGGCCCGGCCGCGCTCAGCAGCGGCTGCCACCCCGCCCCATGATTGTTGCGGCTCTTTGGTGACAGATTGGCTTGGACAGGGCAGGAAAAAGGCTCTGCTCGGCTTTAAGTGGCTCCTCATTAGGGGAGCTTGGTGCTGGGAGGTGAGGGCAGGGCTGGAAACTCCTCCTGAGGGAGCCGGGGCTGGGGCATCACCAGGAGAGGGTTTTCTGCTGAGCTCTGATGGGACCGGAATTGTCACCATGAGGGTGATGGAAATGCTGTGTCAGGGACCTGCTTCCATCCTGGATTTGCTGAGAGAAACAAAGGAGAGTACATCCTTCCCATCCCATCCCATCCCATTGATCCCATCCCATTGATCCCATCCCATCCCATCCCA